AACTCAGGTCAGATTTATGCAAGGCAAATGCCCTACCCACTGTACTATCACTCTGGCCCCTACAGACTCCATTCCTGCTTCCCTGGAGCTAGCATCTCAGTCCCTTTGCTCTGACATGTGTTGTGGCTCCTCTTCACAGCAGAAGGTTTCCACACTCTGCTTACTCTTCCTTTCCCTAGACCACGTCCATTCCTGCACGCAGGAGCCGCACCTGCTTTACCACCCATGGAGGGGACCGCTGGGGGTCCTGGCATATCTCCCTTCACCTCTTCCTCTCAAACACCCCTCCTGGCAGGATCCTGCTTTCCTGTATTTCCTATTTTGGGGGGGGGGGTTAGAGAGTGTGGGCGTTTGGAGCCACTCCCATCAGTGCTCAGACATTAGTCCTGGCTCTGTGCTCTGGAGTGACCCTCACTGTGCTCAGGGGGACCATATGTGGTGCCCGTTTGCCGGGGCAGGCTGCATGCAGGCAAGTGCCTTCCCCATTCTCTCGCCAGCGTCTCAGGCTGTTCTGGAAGAGGGAGCTGGGCTGCATGAGACAGCCTGTGCTCTCTCCAGCCCTCCGATGCAGACATTGCGTCCTCCTGCCCGGAGCCGAGAGGCATCAGCTCTCATCCCAGAGGCAGAGGGAAGATACCCCAGGGCCCTCCGCACTCCCCACTGTGGGTGGTAAAGTGCATGCAGGAGGTGGGCTCTCATCTTCAGGATCTCCCATGTCTATGTCCAAGGGCTTTTGTCTTCTTTGTTATTGGGTTTTTGTTTGGGGGGCCACCCCCAACAGTGCTGGCGTCACTCTAGGTAGTGCATGGTGAGGATCAAACCAGGCCTCCTGTGTGCTCAACATGCACTCAGCCCATTGAGCTCTTCAGACACAGCTTTAGTCTTCTTTTGCTTTCTTGGCTGGGCTCACTAGTCCTGGCCAGTTTGGAGGAGGTGGATGCTTTCATTTTTATGCCTGCATTTCCCTCCTTCCCTCCCTCCCTCCCTCCCTCTCTCCCTCCCTCCCTCCCTCCCTCCCTCCCTCCCTCCCTCCCTCCCTCCCTTCCTTCCTTCCTTCCTTCCTTCCTTCTTTCCTCCCTCTCTCCCTCCCTTCCTCCTCTCCTCCTTCCCTCCCTTTTTTTCTTTCTCCTTGCCTCCCTTCCTCCTTCCTTCCTTCTTTCTGTCTATCTACCACACCCTATGAAGATGCTGGATGCTGGGGGGATGGAGGAGGGTGTTTAGTGCTGGCTCTACACTCAGAAATTACCCTGGCAGTGTTCAGGGGACCATGTAGAGTGCCAGGTATTGAACCTGGGCCAAGCCCAGGTAAGTTCCCTACCCACTTGCTATCTCTGCAGCCCTCTTGCATTTTTGTTCTGGACAGGTGGAACTGCTGGATGAGATCCTTCTTCCCAGAGCCGTGTTGGCTCGAGTACCGAACGACCACTCCTAAGTGGTTCAGGTCACGCTCTTGGTCCAACACCCAACATCTCCTTCCCTCCATTCAAGCCATCAATCCTCCCTCCAGGACCCCCCATGGCTGCGCTGTTGCCACTGCTGCTCAGGGTCTGGGCTTCTGCTCCTGTGTGGGCCCCTGGGAATCAGTGTTTAAATGTTCTCGCTATAACAACAGGCTGGCAATTAGAGGAGATGAAGGATGTGTTAATTGGCCTTATTGTAGTAAACATTTTGCAATATGTGCACGTATCACATCTTCACCACATTAACTTATACAATCTTATATATCAATTAGAAAATCATGAAAGGGTGGCGGGGGGGGGGGGCGGTGGAAGCAATGATGAGCACTAGAGTTCACAGTTGGGCAGGCTTGGACCAGACGTCCAGGAGACAGGAGGATGGCCATAGAATCTGGATTCATTTTCTTGAAGACTGCTTAAGTCTCTTGGCTCCTCAGCCCAGAGTCTCTGTTCTCTCAGCCCAAGCCTGGGAAGGATTTTTAGAATAAGCAGCTCTAAAGCCAGACTTTGAAGGATAGGATGTGAACAGAAGAGGGAGAGGTGTGAGGCATGCTAGGAACAGAATAAGGAGAGGTTGTGAGGGATGAATTAGGATTGGATCACGGAGGCCCTTAAATGCCAGTGTAGGGTGGGGAAGGTGGTTGGGATTTGGTCTTGCAGCCCTTCAAGTTTTTTCAGCAGAGGAGATACAGAAGCTGCAGGATATATTAGCAAACTGTGGGTGTGGGGAAGGGGAGATGGTTCCCCGGTCTTCTGGGAGCCATTCAGCCCACTTGCTAACGGCCTGACCATCAATTCTCCCCACATACAGAGTCTAAAGCTTTGAGGCTAGGGGCTGGGGCTATAGTACAGCAAGTAGGGAGCTTGTCTTGCACACGGCTGACACGGATTCGATCCCCAACATCCCATATGGTACCCTGAGCACGGCCAAGAGTAATTCCTGAGCATCAGGGGCTGTGCCCACACCCGCCAAAAAAGCTTCTGGGTTAGAGAGATAGTACAGTGGGTAGGGCTCCTGCCTTGCATGTAGCTGATCCAACTTCAGTCCCCAGCATCGCATATGGTCCCTGTGTACTGCCAGAATAATTCCTGAATAATCCCTGAGCATCACCAGATGTGTCCCTTAAACAAACAAACAAATGCAAGAGTTTAAAACCTAATCTTTATTTATTATTTTAAATTTGTTGAGGATGGGGCTGGAAAGATAGGACAGCGAGGAGGGTGTTTGCCTTGCATGGGGCCAACCCGGGTTCGATCCCCCTGGCACCCTTTTTATAGTCTCCTGAGCATTTCCAGGAGTGATCCCTGAATGGAGAGTCAGGAGTAACTCCTGAGCATCTATGGTTGTGACCCAAACAACCAAAATAAATAAATAAATTTGCTGAGGCACCGTGATTTACAATACTGGTGATTTACAATACTGTCTCGTGTATGCAATGTTTTAACATCATACCTCCACCCCAGCGACCCCTGGCCCCGCCTGTATCTTCCCTCTGAGCTTAGTGTTTTGAAGGGGTATTCTTTTTTTTTTCCTTTTCGGGTCACACCCGGCAATGCACAGGGGTTACTCCTGGCTCATGCACTCAGGAAATACTCCTGGTGGTGCACAGGGGACCATATGGGATACTGGGACTCGAACCCGGGTCGACCGTGTGCAAGGCAAATGCCCAACCCGCTGTGCTATTGCTCCAGCCCCTGAAGGAGGTATTCTTGGGGCTAGAGTGATAGTACAACTCTAGCACTTGCTTTGCATGCAGTGGACCCAAGTTCAATCCTTTGCACCTCATATGGGCCACAAGTGATCCCTGAGCACCACCAGATGTGGCCCAAAAACAACAAACAAAAAAGAGATATTCTTTTGGGAGGGATGAAGTGGATATTGGGACACACATGGCAATACTCCCAACTTACTCCTGGCTCTGCACTCAGGGATCAATCCTGGTGGACTCTGGGGGGACCATAATTGGTGCCGGGCATCTAACACAGGTTCAGCTGAAGTGCAAGGCAAGTGCCTTAACACCTGTACAATTTCTCTGGCCCAGGAGGAGACATTCTCATCTCTTCCGTAGGAGGCCTATGTGGCTTTGCACAAGAAAGGAGAAAGCTGGTGGGGAATGTGTGGCCCCCGGTCTACCCAAACTTCCCGAGAAGGAGACACTCCCTCCATCCTGCGACTCCAGAAAAGCGTGAGGCCGTGGGCACCCAGCACGCTGTCCGGAAGGTCTAAGCCGGTTCCCCCAGCACCCCTGACTGATGCTGCTCAGTAAGACAGACTCCGAGTGGTGCTGGAAGTGGCGGTGACTTGTCCCTCTGCTGTCACCTCCCTTGTCCTTCTGAAGCCTCGGTTTGTGAACTTTCACCTCTCCCATTCTTGCCTACCCTATTGGTCTAAGACTAAGTGAAGCCGTTGGTCGTTTCTCCTGCTTTGGGATTACAAACGATCTCTCTCGTCCTGTGTGAGAGGCCAGGCAGGAAAGACACCAGGACAGAGAAGACTGCCTCATCCTCTCGGCCCCGTCCTCAGAACAGAAAGTCTGGTGAGAGAAGCTGACACAGAAAACTGTCTGGAGGTCTTTGCTGCTGGAAGTTCATTTTTGCCTCCAAAGCAAAGGAAAGAGCTCCAGGCCTCAGTGTGCCTTACCCTGGCCCTTCAGTAACCACTTTATGGTGGGGAGGGGTTTGGGGCCATGTCCAGAAATGCTCAGGGCTTACTCCTGGTTCTCAGGAATTAATTCTGATGGTGCTCAGGGGGACATATGGGATGCCAGGTATCAAACCCAGGTCAGCTTGCATGCAAGGCAAGCACCCTGCCTGCTGTATTGTCTCTTTGGCACCCCCGCCCCTCACCCCACTGCCTTTGTGTCACTGTTGTTTGGTTTTGGTTTAGGGGCTACCCTTGGTGATGTTTAGTGTTGCTCCTGGCTCGGCACTCAGGGACCAGTCCTGGCAGGACTTGGATCACCCAACCGTGTGGTGTTGGGGATGGATCTGCATGCAAAGCCACATTCCACACCTCTGAGTATTTCCCCAGCCCCTCAGTCTTCTTTCCCACCTTGACCACGTGTTGGAAATGTGACCAGAGCAGACGCCCTGGCCCACTCACTGCCTCAGCTTCTGCTCGGGTGCTGGGACCCCTGCAGGCCTGGTCAGAGCCATATTTGTCTTGGCTTGTCCGCTGCCCGGCACAGGAGAGCAAGCCAGCCCAGCACTAGGCCTCCCTTTGCAGCTGTCCCAGCCCCCACCCATCCAGCACCTTGAGATGACAGACAGGAGACTCCATGGGGACGCTCAGCTGTGTCCTGGGCAGTAGCTTCTTGGCCCCAACCTGTCTCCCTGCGTGGGTCCTGGGAGAGGGGACGCTTGCTCCCTGGGCCAGCCAGTCCCCAAGCCTACCCTGGGATCAGGAAGAAGGGGGCCGGGAGTCAGACACGCCTTGCTCAGGGCTCTGGCTTAAGCCCAGCTTTTCCTCAGCGTCCCTGCCCTGCCGATCCCCGAGCCCGCAGTCCCTGCTGACCGCCTTTCCACCTTCACTTGGCTCCAGAGATGGCTCTGCAGGATGTGTGCAAGTGGCAGTGCCCGGATGCCCAGGAGCCATCACCTCACCTGCCCCCGACTGGAGGCTGGGCCATGCCCCGAGGCTGGGACCCGAAGACCTTCCTGCAGGTCCATGGCCCCAGGCTGGCCCACGGCACCACCACCCTGGCCTTCCGCTTCCAGCACGGAGTCATCGCCGCCGCGGACACACGATCCTCCTGCGGCAGCTACGTGGCATGTCCGGCCTCGCTGAAGGTGATCCCCGTGCACCGGCACCTCCTGGGCACCACGTCGGGCACCTCGGCCGACTGTGCTACGTGGTACCGGGTGCTGCAGCGGGAACTGCGGCTGTATGCGCTGCGCGAGGGGCAGCTGCCCAGCGTGGCGGGCGCCGCCAAGCTGCTGTCGTCTCTCATGGCTCCTTACCGGGGGCTGGACCTGTGTGTGGCCACCGCCCTGTGCGGCTGGGACCGCTCGGGCCCCGCGCTCTTCTATGTCTACAGCGACGGCACCCGCCTGCAGGGGAACATCTTCTCGGTGGGCTCCGGCTCCCCCTACGCCTACGGCGTGCTCGACCGGGGCTACCGCTACGACATGAGCACCCAGGAAGCCTACGCCCTGGCCCGCTGCGCCGTGGCCCACGCCACCCACCGCGATGCCTACTCGGGGGGCTCCGTGGACCTCTTCCACGTGCGGGAGAGCGGGTGGGAGTACGTGTCCCGCTGCGACGCCTGGGGGCTGTACTCAGAGCTGCAGAAGCTCCGGGAACCCCACGAAGAGGAGGAAGAAGAGGAGGAGGCAGGCCAGGCCGGCTGGGGGCCCGCCACCCCCCTCGGAGCCGGGGACAGTGGGGACATCTCCGGGGGCCCAGCACCTGCAGAGGTGCCCACAGAGGCGGAGGAAGCACAGTGACAGGAGGGAGGACTTCGGGGCTGGGAGCGGGGTTGGGAGGAGGGGAACAGCCCCCTGCCCGGCTCCCTGCTTGGGCCCATCCCTGCCCTCCTCACCTCCCAGAGCTGTTGGCGCAAGCCCGCCCTGTGCTCCACGCCCAATAGACGGTCCAGCCTCCTTGTTGGCGCCTTCTTTAGAGGCAAACGCTGCCCACCGCCACCCAGCTCCTTCCACACCCTCCTTTCTCGCCTCCCTCCCTCATTCCCTGCTTTCCCCTCTCTTCCCTCCCTGGGTCTGCTGCCAGCTTCTCACCTGGGCGAGGCGGGGGAGCTGGGCCGGGAATGGGGCCCAGGGTGGGAGGGGAGCTTCATGGACACCCTGCTGTGGTGGGTGGGGGGAGGCTTGGTGCCTGCTCCTTCTCTGCTGGCCCCCACTGCCCGGACTCTGTCACTGGGCACACGGGTCAAGGTCTCTGTGGTAAATGTCCTGTAGTGTGAGTCTACAAGAAGAGGAGTCAGGGTCAAAGATTTGTGTAACCCCCCCCCCACACACACATACAGTAAGTGATGGTGAGGAGGCTTGGGGGTGGCCTTCTGCTTCCGGGCTGGGCCTCCTCCCAGGCCTCGTGCTCACCTCTCCCTTGCTCTCCTCTCCTCAGCCCTCCCTTGCTGTAGTCTCCTCGGCCTTCCCTTCTCCCTCCTCAGTTCTGCCTTCCCCTCCTCGCCCCTTACCACTCCACCCCAGCTCTGGGAGTGACGTGGAAGGAACTGCTGGGCCTAGACACTGGTGACCTTGAGGGTACATGAGCCGCAGACTCCCCCTCCTCCCCTTCTTTCCGGCAAATTCCTTCCTGGGCTCCACACGCAGAAGGGAGGAAGAAAACTGCGGAGCCCAGGGGTGGGCGCGCAGCACATCCAACTCCCTGCTCCCAGCAAGCCTGGCTGCAGCAGGCTGAGGTTTGGGAGGGACCCTGCCCGGCTCAGGTGGGGAGGAAGGAGTGTGCAGCAGATGGGCCCTGTCTTCTTCTCCCTCCTCTCCCTCCTGACACCCTTCCTGCCCTAGCCCAGCCCAACCCCAGCACTGCAGCCCAGGCTCAGGATTCCCCCAGGCAGGAGCTGGCCAGCCAGAACTCCAGGCCAGCTGGTGCAGAGGGTGACTGGGAAGGAGGGAGGAAAGGTCAAGAAATTGCAAGAAGAATCAGGGGCTGGAATGATAACACAGTGGGTAGGGCGTTTGCACGCGGCCAGTCTGGGTTCGATTCCCAGCATCCCACATGGTCCCCCAAGCACCGCCAGGAGTAATTCCTGAGTGCATGAGCCAGGAGTAACCCCTCTGCAACACCGGTGTGACCCAAAAAGCCAAAAAAAAAGAATTATAGTGGAGGTCTGTGGGGAAGAACTGGGGGAGCAGCAGAAGGGGTCTTTAGTTAGGGTCCAGGAGCATTGCTGGTGGCTCCCCCAGTCCTTCCTCAGGCCTCAGGGAAGGGGGCACGCAGCAGTGATAGGGGGCATCCAGTCTGCTGAGGATCTCCCAGGTTGTGGACGGATGTCTTGGGGCTGTGCAGGAAGCTCCTGCAGCTGAAGTGCATTTGCACGCAGAAGTTCCAGGTTCAATCCCCAGCACCAATGGTCCCTTGAGCAGTTAGGAGCCACCCCTGAGCACTGTGATCTCTGAGCACTGCACCACAGGTGCGCACTGGCCTTGGACACATGCAGAGCTATGGCTGGGTTCGTTCCTCACACCACAGAAGTATGCGCTCTCCCACTGAATTCACCCCCAGTTGCCAGAGGTACTTTCTTTTTTTTGCTTTTTGGGTCACACTCGGCGATGCACAGGAGTTACTCCTGGTTCATGCACTCAGGAATTACTCCTGGTGGTGCTCGGGGGACCATATGCGATGCTGGAATCAAACCTAGGTTGGCTGCATGCAAGACAAACGCCCTACCTGCTGTGCTATTGCTCCAGCCCCTGCCAGAGGTACTTTGATATCCAAGATACACCCTTGCCAGCAACTTCGTTTCCAATTCTTTTGGTGGGTGGCAAACCTGGTAATGTTTGGGGGTTGCTCCTAACTCTGTGCTCGGGACATCAACTAATATCAGGAATCCTACCCTGAACTCAGCCCATTGAGCCATCTCTCTGGTCCTTTTTCCTTGAACTTATTTACCTTTATTTATTTGGACTGGAACAATAGCACAGTGGGTAGGGCATTTGCCTAGCACGCGACCGACCCAGGTTTGATTCCTCCACCCTTGTTGGAGAGCCCCGCAAGCTACCAAGAATATCCTGCCTGCATGGCAGAGCCTGGCAAGGTCGCCATGGTGTATTCAATATGCCAAAAACAGTAACAACAAGTCTCACAATGGAGACATTACTGGTGCCCACTCGAGCAAATCGATGAACAACGAGAGGTCAGTGCTACAGTGCTACGGTGCTATTTATTTGATCACACCTGGCTCTGTGCTCAGGGATCACTCCTGGCAGGGATCAGGGTATTGGGGGGACCTATCCAGGCTGACCAATGCACTCTCTCCAGCTCTCTTTGAAGTTTTTGTTTGATTGGAGGCCTCACATGATGACACTCAGGATTATTCCTGGCTCTGTGCTCAGAGATCACTCCTGGCGGAGTTTGGAGGATCACATGAGACACTGGGGATCAAACCCAGGTCCACCATGTACAAGGCAACTGTCTTATCTCCTGTTCTGTGTCTCCAGCCATTCCTTGAAGCTTTTCTGAGCTGGGAGAACAGGCGAAGCCCAGAAACCCACTTCAGTGACCGCCCCCTCCCTAGGAGTGGCCTGTGACTCTGTCCCTCCTCTTCCAGCAGAGGCCCTTTGACCCCAGGGGGACCTGGTCACCTTGCCCACCATGGTCTGGTCGCGCAAGCCTGTCCTTCTGCCTGTGGCTCTGCCTCTTTTCTCTTCCTGGAAATGCTTGCTCACAGCATCCTCTGGGTAGCCATGTGATCCCTTCCAGTCCTCCACAGAGTGAAGGACAACTCCACCTCTGCACGGTGATGGGGTCCCTGTTTTCCTACCCGGGGCTGAAGCACGCAGGCGTGACAGAAGGCTTTCCCACCCCTGCAGCACCCACACCTAGAGGGACATCCAGTCACAGGATCAGCTGTGAAATTCCAGCCCGTGTTGCCTTCGAGAGACCTGCTGAAGTGGGGGTCTCTGCTCTCTCTCCCCTCCCCCACCAGGACTCTTTCTCTGCCCCAGGAATGGATTTTGAGGGTGACACAGCCTCTCCCCAATCTCTCTCCCTCCTTTGTGTTCCCAAAAGTAACATGGCAATTGAGGGGCCCAGAGAGAGAGCTCATGCGCTGTGTGCATCCTTTGTATGGGGGAGTTTGGGGTTTGATCCCCAGCACCTCATGGTCCTACAAGCATCACCAGGAATGACCCCCGAGTCTCAAGCACGGGCTAGCCCCTGAGTGGTGTGTCCTGGTGGGTGTCCCCTCAAAAAAAACTGGGGTGGTGGTCAGGATTCAGGCGGTGTCCTCTCACCCTGCCTCCCCTTCCCCAATTAGCACCAGGGACCCCAGCAGGAAGCAGCTTGTCCTCTCTGCTGTTGTTACCTATTTTCTCTCTTCCTCTTTTAGACTTTTCATTTTTGGTGGGTTAGCCCCAGGAATAGCCCCCTGCAGTGCTGGGGGCTATTCCTGACTCTGTACTCAGAAGTGAAGCCTGGTGGTACTGGGGAAACCATATGGATAGTTGGGGATCAAAACTGGGGTCAGCCACATGCAAGGCAGGTGCCTCCCCACTGTGTTCTTAATCTTTTATCTCTCCCCCCCTTTTTCGGGGGGAGCACATCTGGCGGTGCTCAGGGCTTGCTTCTGGCTCTGTGCCCAGGGATCACTCTTCTAGCAGGCTCCAGGGACCATATGGGGTGCTGCGGATCAAACCCTGGTGGGCCGCATGCAAGGCCAATGCCCTACCCTCTGTTCTATCATTCTCCCCTCCTCCTTGTACCCCAACTTCTTCCCACCCCACATTTGAATTTCCTTGGTCAGAGATCAACAGGTGCCCAGAGAGCATGAGTGGGGGGTGGGGGTAGTGTTATCATCCCTCTCTCTTTTTTTTTTTTTTTTGGCTTTTTGCATCACACCCGGCGATGCTCAGGGCTGACTCCTGGCTCTGCATTCAGGAATCACTCCTGGCGGTGCTCAGGGGATTATATGGGACACTGGGAGTCGAACCCTGGTCAGCCGCGTGCAAGGCAAATGCCCTAACGGCCACTATCACTACAGCCCCAGTGTCATCATCTCTTAGTCCTTAGCGCAACCAGCACACACCCTCCTGAGAAACCGGGAGCAGATTGCCAGCCTCTCCTCCTACAGAAACAGAGGCAAGCACTCCTTTACAAAATAAAGTGTTTGTTTATTATGAAATTAGAGATGGGGGCCCCTCCCCTTCCTCCCTCTCTCCCCTTCCTGCTGCTGCCTCCCCCTTTCTGCCCCTCCCCTCCCTTCCAGGGGCCTGGGAAGCACACACAGAACAATGCCTGGAGAGCTCTCCGGGTACCCAGCCCCAGAGAGGCAGCTGGGGGCTGGAGATGGGCCCTGGGTGGTGGGCGGGCAGGCTCCCTCTCTGTGCTGGAGGCCGGTGGAGCCAGGATGAGGCCATGAGTGATAGATGGGACCATGCGGGCAGGTCTGCAGACAGGAGAGTGGTTAGAGGTCAGCGGGTGAGGGTGCTGTGTCTCCGTCTCCCCGCACCCTGAAATCTCGGGCCACTGACCTGGGGGAGAACGTCCCCTGCAGGAGGGTGGGCAGCAGTGGCTGGAAGATTTCCTTGCTTTGGGGATGGACAACAGAAAAATCCAAAAGCTAGTCCCAGGGACCCCGCGAGAATGGGGGCGGATGTGGGCTGAGGACAGACAGACAGGACAGAGTCACGGAGAAAGTGGAGTCACAGTGCCAGGACAGAGATTCGGAGCCGGAGCCACGCAGGGAGAGAGAAGGAGGGAGGGAGACAGACGACAGACAGACAGAGACAGACACACATACTCACACGCACGCACGCACGCACTGAGGGTCCCTGGAGAGACGCGGGGGACGCAGGAAGGGGACACGGGAGAGGGAGGACCCAGGTGGCCGCCCTGGAGCAGCTGAGGGTGGACACGCGGGAGGGGCTGGGAGGAGCCGGGGGCCGGGTTGCTGCCCCCTGCCCGGGCCGGGGCGCCCTCCCTCCGCGGGGGCGTATGCGGCGGCGGCTCTCAGGGCGCGGGGGGCTCCTTGGCCCCGTAGAGCTCGGCCAGGGTGCGGAAGAGGGGCCCCCAGTCGTCGAGCGGCTCCGCGGGGCCGGGCGCGCCGCCGGCCTCGCTGCCCGAGCCCAGGGAGCTGAGCGAGCCGCAGGAGGAGCCGCGGCCCTCGTAGCCGTACACCTGCACCGAGTCGTAGGGCGGCACGCTGGGGTCCTCGTCGGCCTCGCGCAGCCGCAGCGCCAGCAGCTGCGCCACGTCGGCGGGTCCCGGCGGGCGCGGCTGGCGCGGGGCGCGCGCGCGGGGCAGCACGTCGCGGCGCGCGGGCGGCGGCCCGGGTCCCGGGGCCGCGCCGTCGGGGTTCTGCAGGGCGCTGATGTCGAAGGCCTCCGTGTCCTCCTCGCCGCCGCCCTCGTCGTCGTAGGTGATGATGTTCTCGCGCACGTCCTCCTCCTCCAGCACCATCAGCGCCTCCTGCTTCTGCCGCCGCAGGGCCACGAAGAGCACCACGAGCGCTGGGGAGGGGCGCGCGCTGAGCCGGCGGCAAGAGGGCCTGCGGGGGGAGGGGCACCCCTCCCTGGGGGCCTGTCCTCTAGCCTTTCCAATGAGGGGGGGGTCGACGAGGGGGCCAGTAGGGGAAGCTGCTCCACTTCATGCAGCCGTTACCCCAGTGTGGCCAGGAGCGAGCGAATGCAAACAACTCTGCCGGCTGGGGGGATCCTCGCAGATGGGTCCCCGCAGGGGCTCTGAGACCAGGACTTATCTCTTGGACGCAGAGGGCAGGGTGAAACCCAGGCACCAGCCATCCTTCCGGCACAGGAAACACTCAGGGCGGTGCCCCCAGGACCATATGTGATGCCAGGGATAACTAGGGTAGATCTGGCCCCACTAGGGTGGATTTTTCTTTTCTTTTCTTTTTTTTCCTTTTTGATTTCAGGTAACACCTGGCAGCCCCAAATCAGAGCTTTTCTGGACAACAGAAAACAAACACAGGCTTTTTTTTTTTTTTTTCTGTACTCAGATTTACTCCTGGCTGTGCTTTCAGGGATGACTCCTGGGGGACCATGTTGGTTTTTGTTTTTAATTTTGGTTTGGGGCCACACCTGGCTCTTCACTCAGAAATTATTCCTGGCAGTGCTCAGGGGACAATATGGGGTGCTGGGGATGGTTGGCCTTTTGCAAGGCAAGCGCCTTACCGGCTGTACTCTCTCTCTGGCTCCTGGGGGACTATATTGGATGCCAGGGGATCAGACTGGTTGTTACAGTGCTCTACCCACTATATTCTTACTTTGGCCACTCTGGGGTGGTGGTGGTGGGGGTGTACTTTATTTGGGGGAGGGGCACACCTGGGGATGCTCAAAGATTACTTCTGATTCTGTGCTCAGAAATTACTCCTGCCTGGGGGATCATATGGGATGCCAGGGACCAATCCTCAATCAGCCATCCATGTGCAAGGCAAGTGCCCAACCCACTGCATTATCACTCTAGCCCCACAGGAGAAATTTTTCTTTATGGAATCAGGGCTTTTTTCCCCTGTCTTTTTGGGGTCACACTCTGCAATGCTCAGGATGTTCAGAGGTTACTCCTGGCTCTGCATACTCAGGAATTATTCCTGGTGGTGCTTGGGGAACCCAATGGGATGCTGGGATTGAACCCAGGTTGGCTGTGTACAAGCAAATGCCCTGTGGCTCCAGCCGCTGGAATCATGGTTCTGATTCCCAACACAGCCCTGCAGACCTGGATCCTGAAGGCCCATTGTCTCCCATAGCCCTGGAGCCTCCTTCTCTGTCCCCCTGTGCTCTGACTCACCGAGCAGGGTGCCAATGCAGGTGACAATGGCCAGCAGGGCCCCAGTGCTGAGCCCGGCAGGCGAGAGCTGAGCTTCAGGCCGGCAGGAGGCCACAGAGCCATCAGGCCGGCAGCGGCAGACACTGACGGTCACGGTGGCTGTGCTGCTCAGGGCGGGCTGCCCCCAGTCCCACAGCTCCACAGGGACCAGATAGGGGGCCTGACGGGGGGGTGCAGGGCGGGGGGGCAGCAGCAGGCTGGCGGAGCCGTCTGAGGGACAGGAAGAAGATGCACCTCCTGAGACACCAGCCCTCCCCGGGAGGCAGAAAGAGCCACTAAGCCCTTCTGCTTTCACCCGGGGGGCTTTGGTGGAGACCCCAAAAGGGTGGGGTGGAGGAGGGGGAGCAGGCGGGAGCACGGTTGCAGGGGACCACCCACCTCGGTTGTCCCGGACAGTGAAGTTGGCGTCAGGCCCCATAGGCCCCTGCAGGGACACGCGACTGCTGTTGCCGGCTTCGTCTCTGTCCAGGGCCCGGATGACTTGGATGAGCTGGAAGAAGAGAAGCCTGGTAGGAAGCGGGCGGGGGGTAGGGGGTGGGGGAGGGCCGGGCTCCCCCCCTCACCTCCGCTGCTCACCTGGCCGGGGGCCGCAGAGTCACACACGAAGGTATCGTAGGGCTCAGCCAGCTGGGGAGCGTTGTCATTCTCGTCCAGGGTCTGGATGGTCACTTGCACGTGGGAGGCTTGCGCGGAGCTGTCTGAAGCCAGAACACGAAGACACACCACCCCCGTGCACACGCGACACAATTTACCCAGAGCCAGCGCACGCCTCGCACAGGGAGGGCACAACACGTGTGTCTCTGCCAGGGACCACGCGCACTCCCCATCCATGGAGCACCCCAGATAATGCGCCCGGGACAACCTCTGTTCAGCAGGACCGTCGCCTCCCCCAGCCCCGTATACAGGTGGCCACGAGGAATTCAAGCACACCAGGAAGTGGCTAGACACTCAGCGTCCATAATGGGTGCAGCTCACGCAGTGTCGCCATTCTCTCTATATGGGATGGCCTGTGCCCCCAGCCCAGCACAGCCATGGCAGAGGATGTGCCCTGCACACACACTCACATAACACCTGCCCCCCTCCCAGGGAGCTGACAGCTGGTGGTGTCATATCAACTCTCACTTAGCCTTGACCATGGCGAGGGAGGAGTTGCGTGATGCACGGGGTACCAGAGCAGCCCAGATGGGATCCCAAAGCCAGGCGCAGGTCCCCTCTCCACCCACCCCCTTCTCAGGTTTCCGTTCTGCCTTGCTCCTCACTGCTCATGCCATCCAGGGGAGAACAGGGTAGGAAACCCCCACACTTTCTGGGGTTCACCATCCCTCAGTGGGGCCTCCCACTTTCTCTGTCTCCTCCAGAGAGCTGGCTGGCCTGGTGGAGGGGCTGGGCTCTCAGCCTGGGCAAAGTGGACTGCATGACTAAAGGGTCTGGGCTGGGCTCTGTGTCTACTGAGGGTCCAGGGTCCACTGGCTGGTATCAGGGTTGGAGTGGAGGATTTGGCAAGAGCGTGGAAGTCAGGGTAACAAACAGGCAGCCACAAGCACAGTAAACACACACACACACACACACACACACACACACACACATTCCCAAGGGCAGGCAGCTCCACGTGCCACATGGCAGGTGCCCATAAATACACACGTGCCTCCCACACCTCGGGAGTGCAGAGGCAGCCCAGACCGACAGCCAGAAGAGCGTGACGCCCATCTCGGATGCTCATCAACCTTCATCTCTGCGTGACCCCGGGAAGGGGCCTGACTTCCCTCTGCTCGAGTGTCCCCATAAAATGAGGGCATGATACACTGTCTTCATAAAGCTGTGGTGAGGACTCCGTGAATTGATCCCTTTTTGCTTTTTGGTGAGGGGAGGAGGCACACCCAGCAATGCTCAAGGGTTACTCCTGGCTCTGCACTCAGGACGATACTCCTGGGACCTATACCCATGTGCTCAGGGAACCACATGGGATGCCGGGGATCAAACTGAGGTCAGCCTCATGCAAGGCAAATGCCCTGCCTGCTGTACTGGCAAAGCTCCAGTCCTAATTCCTATTTGGTACTTGGAACAAAATCTACAGTAAGTGGTCATCTGCCCACAAACTTTCACACACACCCTAAAGATACAAACAACCTCTTATAGCTACACACAACTAACTGCACACACGTGCTTCTACACAGACACTCAAATAGACACAAGCGTGGCCAGCAGCGGCTGCGTATTCCTAGCTATGTCCACACATATTCAGGGGCTTTCACATCTGTGTAATTATTCACACAGAAGCAGGTTCCCACAGGCCTCCAGCGACACGCACCAACACCCACGCATCTGATGACAGCTCCCACGGACAGACACAGCCGGCCAGCAGAGGAGATAAGGGGAGGCGCGTTGACATGGGGGGGGGGACGCCTGTCTCCCTGGACCAGGGCCGCACAGAGGCAGCTGAGCCGCATGCTGGTGACAGGCGACTGACGGGCAGGAGGGACCCCACACACCCAGACAAGGTGCTTGTCCTTCCCCGGGTCTGCGGCAGAGAAGTGAGGGCAGGGCCTGCCAGGGCGCAGCTTAATGAGGCTCCCGGGGCGCTGATTTATTTGCAGGTGGCTGCCACCGGATAAGGGGATATACGCCGGATGGGGCTGCGATAGGCTGGGCGCTAGAGCCATGACCTCCAGGTGGCCAAGTTCCGTGCTCGAGACCCAGTGGCCAGACGGTGGGAGGTGCCCCGGCAGCAGGCATGTAGGGGGATGGGCAGGGCGGGGGGGGGGGGGGCTTGCCCAGGCTCCTCACCAAGCTCCGTGGCCAGCACCGTGAGATTGTGCCAGACACGTGCCTCGCGGTCCAGGGGCACCACGGTGCGGATGCTGCCGTCGTCGGGCTCGATGGAGAAGCAGCGCTCTGGGTCCGAGTGGGGGAGGATGGAGTACCTGGGAGAGAGGGGCTGGCTGCCGACGGAAGACCTGAACTCATGCCCAGGGCCGTTTAACCGGGCTTCGGGCCCCTTCAAAGACAGTGTTCCTGGGAAGTCACAGGCCTAAGGCTCCCCAAGGCGCGGCACGGGGAGGGGGCAGAGGCAGCATGAGGCAAGGTGGAGGGGGAGCCTGCCCGGTCACCATCCAGATTTCCGGGCTGTGTCCTGGGGGGCGCAGAGGCCCAGGTTCTAGCTCAGCTCAGCCTCAGACCCAGAGGGTGACCTCGGCCGACAGTTTAACGTGCCCCCTCCACCCCCATGACTCCATGACAAAGGGGGCGAAATGGGGGCACACTGGCTGGGGAGGTAGAGAGTGGCATCTGGACCCAACTCTGCCACTTACTGACCGTGCGGCCTTGGGCAAATGCCCAGTGGGGGCAGCCACTGGGTCACTCAGCGTGTCCAGTGGGGGGAAGTATGAAGTGCTGAGTGGGACCAATAGTGATGGTGACCCAGACGTGGACGGAACAACGTGAGAGAGATGGCTGGGAAGTGTCCGTTCCCGCCCGCCCAGAGGGAGAGGTGGGGGTTGCTGGGTGGGGTCGGGGGAGCCAGACCGTGCTGGAGGGGGGCACCCCAGGACTCCACACACAAGCCTGGGGATGCCCTGCTGGCAGGGGTGCAGGGATCCCCATCAGTGGGCCGAGCCCACACCCCAGCTCACCTGATGGGGCTGGCCGGGGAGTCCAGGTCAGCGGCCGAGACCTGGCCCACCAGGGTCCCGGGGGCCTGGTTCTCGGGCACTGCCAGGTGGTAGGCAGCCTGGGTGAAGGCCGGTGGCTCGGGGGCGTCCTGCACAGTCACGCGCACCGAGGCCACGTCCTTGAAGGGCCCGCGCCGCAGGTAGGCTGGGTCAATGAGCGTGTTGGTGGCCTCCACGCGGAAGGAATAGGAGCGGCGGCTCTCGAAGTCCAGGGGCTGCGGCGAGAAGAGAGGGAAGCTGTGACGTGGTGCGGGGGTGAGTGGATGTGGTGGCCCCCAAGTGCTGAGTGGCTGAGCCTGGATCTGTCCTCAGGACTGGCACAGACTTGCTCTAGGAAAGTGGGGTTTTTAAAAATTTTTTTGAGAGGGGGATGCTGGGGATGCACGCCAGAGACGTTCAGGGGTTACTCCTGGCTCTGTACTCAGAAATTACTCTTGGCAAGCTTGGGGGACCACATGGGATGGCAGAGATCAAACGTGGGTCAGCTCTGTAGAAGACAAATGGTACTAACCTGCTGAAGTAACTGTCTGGCCCTGCTTTAGGAAAAGTTCTGAGCACTTGCCTTGCTTGTGTGAAGCCCTGGGCTCAATTCCAGAATGAGAGAGGAGAGAGAGAGAGAGAGAGAGAGAGAGAGAGAGAGAGAGAGAGAGAGACTTGGTCTTGGAGAGATAGTACAGCAGGTAGGGCGTGTGGCGTGTGGCTGACTGGGTTTCAATCTCTGCTATCCCATATGGTCCCTGAGCCCCACCAGGAATAACCCCCCTGAGCACCACCGGGTGTGGCCCCCAAACAAAACAAAAGCCTCGAGCAGGTCCTCCCCCTGCTTTCTGGGCCTCAGTCTGAGCCAGGTTTGATCGATCCCTGGTGCCCCACCTCCTGGTTCCCTCAAGCTCTGCCAGGAGTGATCGCTAAGTATAGAGCCAGGAGGAAGCCCCAAGCACAGCCTGTGGCACACCCCACCCCAGGACAACAACAACTACAGAATGAACAGATGAAACAGAAGGTGGCTGAAGTGTGCCCGTGGGGCGGGGCAGTCAGGGGCTGACCTTTCGAACAGTGAGGAGCCCGTCACGACCCTGAGCGTCTGCGCTGATGCTGAAGGCCTCCGAGCCCTCCCCGTCCAGGATGCTGTAGGCCATGAGGGCGTTGTCCCCCAGGTCCGGGTCCTGGGCCCGCAGCCGGCCCACCAGGGTGCCCGGCCCAGCCGTCTCCACGACGGAGAACTGGTAGAGGCCTGAGGGTTGGGGTGAAGGGGGAGACATTCTCAGAGAGGCCCTGGTCTCTACAGCCCAGCCTGTCCTCCTCCCGGAGCCTGGTCGAGGGGAGCGGGTGAGGGTGGGGTTGGGGGTCGGGGGGCTTCTCCCTAGTGTGTGTGTGTGGAGGGAGGTGCGGGGGAGGTGGCCGTGTTGGCCCCGTACTCTGAGGGAACTTGGGGGGGTTGTCGTTGACATCGCTGAGGGTGACGGTCACTGTAGTGCTGCCCGACAGCCCCCCCATGTGGCCGCCCATGTCCTTGGCCTGGATCACCACCAAGAACTCCTCCTGCGTCTCGCGGTCCATGTTGGGGATGGCCGTTCGCACCACTCCTGGAGAAACAGGAGGGGGTCAGCGGCGTCCCCCCCCCCTGCAAGCTGCCCTGCGGGGTGCCCGTGCCCTGTCCTCACCCGTCTGGGGGTCCACTGAGAAGAAAGGGAGCCCGTCCAGCACCGTGTACACGAGCTTGGCACTGTTCCCATAGCTGGGGTCATCGGCGTCGTGAGCGGTCACCTGGATCACTGATGTCCCTACGGGGGGGGGGGGGAGTGGGCAGCAACCCCACTCAGCAGGAGGACAGGACCAGGAGGGGAGGGACAGCAGAACAGACGGATGAAGGCACGAGGGGGGCTGAGTCACACGTGGGGGTTCCGGGAGAGAGGAACGGGGGAAAGCCGGATGAGGGCACTTCAGGAGGCGGGGTGGGGGCTACTCACCCACGTTGGACATCTCGGGCACGGTGGCGTGATAGGGTCCCAGCGGGAAGATGGGGGGGTTGTCATTGATGTCCTGCACCTTGATGATGAACTCTGAGGGGGGTTCCAGGGGCCGGTTGGAGGCCCTGTCCACAGCTTGAGCTAGAAGCACGTACTGGGCCTTCTCCTCCCGGTCCAGGCTCTTGGTGACATGGATGTTGCCCGTGGCCTCATCGATTACAAACACGGTGCCCGCCCCTTCGCCGGTCAGCAGGTACTTGGTGCGGCCCTCTCCCCGGTCCACGTCGGAGTGCAGCTGCAGGGTCGGGGAAAGGCAGAGTCTCGGGACCCCGAACAGAAGGTGTGGGGGTCAGCTGCAGGGCAGCGCCCAGGGGCCTGGAGTCATGGTGGACGGGTCAGCTCCAGCCTTACCTTGCCAATAAGGACAGGCTCCGGGCCAGCATACTCCTCAATGACGAAGAACTGGTTCCACACCCAGCTCCGTCGGGTCCGCAGCAGTGCTGGTCCCGGGGAGCCCCTGGACCCTGCCCAGGCCCGGGCAGGGGCTGCCAGGCGCCCCATGCAGCCCCAGCCACCCAGCCAGGCCAGCAGGAGCCTCACCAGGCCCCACATGGTTGGGCTCCAGCCAGGGCTCTGTTCACTGCACCCGGACACTGAGGCATGAGCGGGCTGGGGCGGAGGGGGTCGATGCATCCAGGTTACCCCATGGAGCCACACCTGTAGGACAGGTGGCTGCTCAGGGATCAGGGAACTATCCACACCCACACCCACCCAGATACCTGCACACACACTCACATACATGTGCACATACGCACACACTCGGACACATGCACACACACTCTCACATACATGCATACATACGGACACACTCAGACACATGCACACACATGCATATACTCAGATGCACGCATTCACACCCATACACACACACACACACACACACACACACACACCAGTAAAGGGAGAGGCTGGAGATGAGCCCTCCAGAAATCAGACACCCCACTGCCCAGAAGCCAGACTAAGTCAGAGCAGACTGTGGGTCCTGCCCCCTCCCAGACTCGGCCTGTATTCCCCTCCAGCCCTCCAGGCTGATAAATCTCCAGCCAGTCAACTCTGAGAAGCTGGGGAGGGAAACCGGAGAAAGGATGTTGGGGTCCTGCAATCCCAAACCTGTCCTCTGTCCTGCCGGCTGGGCACGCTGCCAGGGGGCTGGGGGCGGGAGGAGAAGGGGGCTGCTGGAGAGGGGGTTTTATTCCTGGGGTCGGGATTCCCCGGAGGTGTGGTCTCCAGAGGGTCAGGGTCAGCGGAGAGACCGCGGGGAGTGCAGGTGCAGGCGAGGGCAGGGATGCGCCTGCAAACCCCTCCTTTCAGAGAGGCGCCCCTCCCGCTCTCCAGAACCGGCTGAAGTCCTTGAAGGGGGACTAGGGGAGCAGAGTGGTGGGGGAGAGAGAACTGCGGGCGGGCAGGGCCAGGGCAGCGACGGGGCGCAGAGGCCGACCCAGAGGCTGGAGCGGGAGTGAGACCAAGAATGAGGGGCTGCCGGGCACGGGCAGGCAGAATTGGAAAGGCATCAAGGGGGCAGGTGCGAGCTTGGGGGCGCAGGGCGGGCGGGGGTGCGGGCTCGGCAGGCAGGGGAGCCCCCGCGGACAGGGTCCGAGCAGGCCGCCAGAACTTCCTTCTGGGGAGGGGGGCCCTCGGCGTTCCCGGAGCAGACACACACACACACGCACACACGCACACGCACACCGACACACACCTGCCGGTGCCTCCCGCCCCCAGGGACAGGCGAGGGGAGCCGGCCCGAGAGGGGGGCGGGACGGGGGGGAGAAGGGGAGGCAGCGCGGTGGGCAACAGGGTAGCGGGAAGGGAAGCGGCGGGCGCGGGGAGCGGCGGGGCAGCGACGGAGAGCGGGAAAAGGGAAAGAGGGGAGCCGGGACGGGGGCGGCCAGGGGCCGGCGGGGCGAGGAGCCGGAGCGCGACGGGGCAGGACGGAAGGGCAGGGGGCCGGCGGGCGCGCGGGGAAGGGCGCGGGGCGCGGGGCGCGGGGGCCGGGCCGGGCGCGGCGCCCTTACCTGGCAGTGCCGCGGCGCGCCCGCCCCGCCGCCGGGTCCCGGGGCGCAGCCCCGAGCCGATGAGCGGGCGCCGCGGCTCCGCTGCGGGTCTGAGCGGCCCCGGCGAGAACAAGGCAGCGAGACGAGGGGGCGGGGGAAGGAGGCTCCGCCTGCGGAGGCGCGCGGGAGAGGAGCGCCCGGCGCCGACCCTCCCCGGCCAGCCCGGCCGCGCGGCGGGGGCGGGGGCGGCGCCTGGGCCGGGCCGCGGGGCGCATACAGATGCGGCGCGGGGCCGGCCGGTGGCCCGCGGCTGACCCGGAGGGCGCGCTCGGCTCGGCCCGCACGCGCCCCGCCGCGGCCCGGGGACTCGGAGCCCGCCGCCGCGGGGCACGGCCGCCTGCTGGCTGCGCGGGCCGGGGGGCCCCGGGGCGCGGGAGGTGGCCCGAGGGCCCCGCGGGCCGGGCCCGGGGAACCGAGGCACGACACCGGCGGGAGGGGTGCCGAGCGGCGCCTTTCGGGGAGCTCCTGGAGAGGCGCCTCCGGAGCGGGCGGCTGCCGCCCCCTGGTGGCAGTCGCGGGAGTCGCGGGGGGCGAGCAGGCGACGAGGTCCTGCCTGCGAGTTGGGAATCCCCCCACCCCCGGGGGCTGGTCCCTCCACCCCACACCGGTCCCAGGCAAGGTGTCCAAGGGCCGCGGGTGCCCAGGCCCTGCCCTGGGAAGCTACAGCCTGCAGTGCTGTCCGATGTGCACGTCAACGTGCCTCTCACCCGGGTCCTGTCCAAGGAAAGGCACTCACACACCAGTTAAAACTAAGTCAGATTTTTTATTATTTTCCATAGACCACATCATTTAATAATAAAAAAAATAAAAATAAAAATTGAACAAAGGAAAAGGTGGATATAAAGTGGAACCTGTGGACAAGAGGCAAGGACTGCAGGGCAAAGAAATGGGAACTGCCGGCCCCGGGACTCAGGAGGAGATGCTGATTCAGCTCATAGGTGACCCAGTCCTGGCCCCGGCTGTTCCCAAGAGGCTGTGAGTAACCAAGGTGAGCAGGACAGAGGAAAGATGAAAGATATTTGGAGCTCCTGGCTGTCCCCCACCACTCGGCCAGCCATCTTCCTCCCAACTTACCCGCCCCCCCTTCTCACACTGGACAATGAGAAATGAGACAGAGAGGGCCAAGTCTCCAAACAGGCTAAGGGAAGCAGGAGAAAAAACGGCCACTGCTCCATTTGGAACGTGGGGAGGACCGGAGGCAGCCGTGCTTCAGCACAGGGCAAAAGGTGTAGAGACCCTTGGTTCCGGGGGTGGAGATTGTACCTAACCCTCTGTGACCCTGAACCCCAGGGGCAGGGGGGCTGCCACCTGCAGCTGACCCTGGCGTCCCCCGCTAGCGGCGCCCACCCCGGTCCCGCACAGGTGTGCTCCGACTCCGGCTCCGGCTGTGACGCTTGGTGTCTCTGCGGTCCCTCTCCCGGCCTCGTTCCCGGTCCCGCTCCCTGTCCCGATCTCGATCCCCCCTGTCACGTTCCCTGTCCCGATCTCTTTCCCTGTCCCTCTCCCGGCTATGCTCCCTCCGCTTCTCCCGCTCCAGCTGTCGGTTCCGCTCCCGCTCTGCTTCCTTCTCCCGCTCCTTTTGCTCCTCTTCTTCTTGCTCCTTCCGCCGCTTCTCCCGCTCCTTGGCCCGCTCGGCCCGCTCAGCCTCCTTCTGAACAATCTGTAGCAGGCAGCAAATGCAGAGAACAGGCATGTCAGCCCACTCAGTGGTTGGCCACAGCTACTCCTGGCTCTATGCTCAAGGGATCACTCCTGGAAGGGTATTGGATGCTGGGGATTGAACACAAGTTGCTTCCATCTCTCTCTGGCTTCAGTCTCCCTTTTTCTTACCTGCACTCAGACCCCAATCGGGGACATAACCAGCTCTGATGTGAAGCAGAAAACTAGATTCAGCAATACAAATTATGGTTTGTTCTTTCCCACCATTTTTTTTGGGGGGGGGGGGCGGAGGGGCGGGGCGTGTGACGGTCTGCACTTTTTAGTTGATTAGCATAAATCTTATTTTTTCTTTTTATAAAAGGGGAGAACTCTAGAATGAAAACCAGAGAGAGGACTGGAAAGATAGCATGGCAGGCTTAACACTTTTGGGGTGGGGGGTTGAGGAATGAGAAGAGCCCACACCGGACAGCTAAATGAATGTTTTACATGAAGAAAGCGGGAGGCCTGGGTTTGACCACTGGTTTGACCACGTGGCCCCCCCAGCACTGAGCCAGGAGTAGTAGCCCCCTAGAGCACCACTGGATGCAACACCTCTCTTTACCCCCCAAACTTACAAAAGGAAAAAAATCAGTAGTGGGGTTGGAGAGAGAGATCAAGCAGTGGAACACATATTTGGCATGTTCAAGACCGAGATCAATCCCAGCACTGCAGATCCCCCACCTCCAAACAAAACAAAGCAGAGCAATGAAAACTTAAATATGGGTTTCTCAGTTAAAGTCAACTCCCCGGCCTGGCTGACAGGACCAGCTTCCCAGGAGATGCACAGGGCTATCACCAAGCGCCCTCTCTGTTCCACTGGTTTCTGGCTTTTCTACAGGACATCCTCTTTAATTTGGCTTTAGGTCACACCTAGCGGTTCTTATAGCCATACAAAATGGGGTGCCAGGAAACAAACTAGTGTCAGCTTGTGCCAGGCAAGTGCCTTATGGGCTGTACCCTTCACGGAGGGACAGAGCACACGGGCTATGGCTGTGGTGCTTGCTGTGCCTTGAGCTGTGGAGCCCCAGGGGCCCCACCTGCTCTTAAACTGCCTCTCTGCCTGGTGCCAAGTTTCCTTCCCGAAGACCCTAAGCTAGCACCACGAGGAGGGGCCCACTCACCTGGCTGTCGGTCAGCGGGAGCCAGTAGATGCAGGGGGCAGCCTTGGTCTTACGGAAAAGGTCATCCAGCAGCTTGGCAGGTGGCTCCTCCTGAGCTTTCTCTGAAGGTGGAACACAGTGTGTCAGACTTGGTGCCTGAGACCCTGTATCCGGCCCCCTTGGGTCCCTTTCTGACCCACCAGCGGGCGAACACTTCCGCACAAGTACCTTTCTTCTCACTCTTCTTTTCTTTAGACTTTGCACGTTCCTTACGGCGTCGGTCCCGGGATCGTGATCGGGAACGGGGTCCTTCTCGAACTTTGTCCCGATCCCATTCACGTTCTGATCGAGTTCGCTCTCGCCGCTCCATTTCCCGTTCCCGCTCTGCCCACTGTTCCCTCACTGCCCGCTCCTGCTCCCGCTGCTCTGCCCGGGGATGCTGTGGTGGCTGGGCTGGGGGTGGGGGTGGGGGATGCAGGGGCCGTGGGACACCTTGCTCCTCTGTCTTCGCTTCAGAGGGACGGTCCACCAAGAGGCCCCGGTGATAATCCAGCTATGGGTAAAAGAGGAACATAAACAGTCAGGACGGAGGTGGCATCACTCCACTGGAGGACCCCAAGGATGGCCCCAGGATTCAACAAAAGGAGCCAAAGGGGAAGAAGAGGGAGAAGAAATCTCAGTGACTGGCCTCAGCGAGGCCCTGGCAGAGAATGCCCCCGCCTTCCCTCCCCAGCTCCTTACCTCATCTTGCTCGGCATAGTCAGCACAAAGGAATTTCGGATTGGACTGGGGCCATTTGACCCCATGTAGAGCCGTGCGGGTGGCAACAGCTTCCTCTACTGTGGCGTACTGGTGGAGGAAGAAGACAGAGGTCGCTCTAGGCTTCCGATCCCTCCTCCTTGCTACAGAGCCCATAAACCTGCCCACTGCCACAGAGCTGCCTCGTTCCCTCACCGTTACAAAGCAGTGAGATTTGATCTTGTCAATCCAAAAGGCCTCTTCCACCAGAGTTCCCGTTCGTCCCAACAATTCCTTCAGTTGGCCTAAAGTGAAGGGGCGCACCTGCCAACAAAAGTGGGAATTTCAGGATGTTCCAGAAGACAATTCACTAGTCTGTCCTAAAAATCTCCCAAGCTGGGGCCGGCAAGTGCTTTGCATGCAACAGACCTGGGTTCAATCTCCGGCACCCCAACATGGCCCCCGAGCCCTGCCAGGTATGATCCCTCAGTTGAGTCAGTAGTCCTGAGCACCATAGGTGTGTGTCAAAAACAAACAAAACTTCCCCAAGCTGTCTAGCAGAGTACAGCATCGAAGTCTGGTTTAGGACAGAGAGATCAGGAGCCCTCTAGCAGTAATGTCAGGTAACAAACAACTGAGGCCTGCCTATGCGCCAGGCACTCTGCATTCCTGAAGTAAACCCTCTAATGTGATTGTCTTTTCTATTTTTCAGATGAGGAAAAAGGCTAAGCAGTTAATAACTCGCTTTGTCAATGAGTAACCAGTTGTTCTAGGAGTCAAATCTAATCAAGTGTCCAAAACTCAAAAAAATTTTTGGAGGCTGTGGGCCATATCTGGGGGGGTCAGGGGATCATACAAATCATGCTGAGGATTTAAACTGGGGTCAACAGGATGCAAGACAAGTGTTTTAACCCTACCATGACCCACAAACTCAAACTTCTTTAACCACCAAAGTCGCTGGATTTTGGGGAGACAATGACTTACCAAATTGGAGATGTGGACAATGTTACTGATCTTGCCCCGGGGTGGGGAGGGCACCTGAGCAATTCTCACTGGATCATCAATGGTGATGGAGACTCCAGACTTCTGCTGGCTAATGGATCTTCGGGTCAAGGTATCCCCTAAAGTCACTACCAAAGAGAGCACAGAGTGGCTTTCAGAAAGGAGAGTGCTGGCTCCCTCACCTCCAAACTTTCACTCCAGCCCAGCAGCAGTCACTCCTCCATGTCAATATGTGAACCGCTTACAAGGGCAAGGGGCTGATCAGGCTAATGCTGTTAAAAGATCCAAAGACTAAACAGATTCAAACCCTACCCTTAAGTAGCTTAATAACTAGGAGGTGGAGGGGTCGGGTGGAGGTGGTGGTGAAGACAGGAGAAATGTAATAAAGAAAAAACAAAAAAAAACAACAAGGAATGCTTTAAAGAGGTCTAAATAAAAAACTGGGAATTTGGGGAGCTGCCCCACTCACCTTTCTTGACTTCGTGCTCCACAGGCGGTGGAAGGGCCACCTCTACTGAAACCTGGGGTGGCGCAGGGGGCTCTGCTTCAGGCTCCTTCTCTTCTTCTTCCTCTTCCCTCTGCCCATTCTCCTGGCCCTCAGCAGGCACTACCTGTAGTGGGTGACAGATTAGCACTGAATCACCAGACGGGCACATTCTTTTCAGCCTCTGATTCCCTGGTGAGAGAGGGTGGGGTACAATCAATCTAGCACGCTTCTTCCGCTAGGAGGCAGATTTCATTATTTAGGTTCACCTCCACCGGTCCTGGGATTATAATGCATCAATACTGCCATGAGGAAAACCAAGGCAGGAACAGGCTAATTTTTTCCCTGTACATAATAGAATTTTTGCTGCGACTATTCACTTCTGACATTAGAGCATTTAAACAGACATAGATAGGTAAGAACTAACGAACTGGCAAGAGTCTGGATTTGGGAGTCAGCTGCCCTATGCACAGACGGGAGATTGCCTTTTTGGACCCCCTCCACTGCAGCTCACCTGCCTGCCTGTGCCCACAGCCCCATCCCCTTGACACTGGGGTGCAGCCTTACCTGAGTGACAGTCCGGCATATTTTCAGCCCTTTGTCATGGGTCCCATCGTCGCCATTACGCTCCGTCTCATCCTCAGAGATTCGGGAGTCGTCAGCATGAAGATCCACAACAGCCTCCTGCCCCGCCAGGGGTTTGATGTCGGGGATGAGGCTCTGGGACACAGATACCCCCCACCCCGTTACACTGGGCCCATGTCTACTCCCACCTCCATGTGTCTCAACCTCCCGCCCCGGCTCCTCCCACCTCACCTTGAGCGACTCGGTGGTGATGCTGATGGACGGTTTCTTCTGTGTAGTTGCTGTGCTGGCTCCCCAACGCCGCTTCCGACCAGGCTGGCCCCCCTCTGTGTCACTGTTTCCAGCCGGCACCCCCTTGGTAGCTGCTGTCCCCAAGAAACACGACGCAGGAGTTAAGACAGTATCAGGCCCTCTGCAGGTTCACACAACACCCACAGCCGTCAACTGGAATTTTTGTCAAAGATTAACTTAAAGGGCCAGGGATGCAGCTCAGTGGTAAAGCACATCCTTGTATGTATGAGGCCTTTGGTATCATCCTTGGAGGTATCCCAAACAGGTCTGAAGCAACAGTAAGGAGCACGTTTTGCATGCATCAGAGCCCCAACACCACATATGGTTTCCCCGAGCCCATCGGAGTGATCCCTGAGCAAAACAGGGGTAAGCCCCGAGCACCTCCAGTATGGCCCAAAAGCCAAACTAGTAACAATAAAGGTCAACTGAAGGAAATCTTATTTGGGGACAGGGGAGACCTTCAAAGTTAACAATAAAGGGACTGACACCAATTCTCATGTGTTACTAAAATTTAAGTTTTAAAATGAAAATCAGGAAAGAACCTGACCAAGCTTCAGTCTAAATTTCATTCTACAGACTGATATTAAAGATATGACTGTCAGACTTCCTCACTGGGGAAACTCTGCAAGCCTGAGTTTCTTGGTTTTTTTTTTTGGGGGGGGGGGGGTTGCTATTTTGTTTGGAGGCCACACCCGGTGGTGCTCAGGTAACTCCTGGCTATGTACTCAGCAATTGCTCCAAAAAGTAGACAGGGGATCATTATGGAATGTTGCATGTAAAACCAGATACTGGCTATATTACCACTCCACCCCAGGTCTATTGTCTTAAGGGTGGGCACTCTCTTATTTCTTCAACACTCAAAATAAAGCATGAACCAGCAAGTATACTGAGAAGAGTCCTTAAACTTCTCCCAGTTCTGAAGGTTCAGTTCTCTGAAGAGTAAATCTATGTAGAGGAAATGCCTCAAAATGCACCAAATTTTAAGAAAGGTAAGGGGAAATGACATTTAATTTCAAAATAAAATCCAGCACTTGCCAAAAAAGATGCATCTCTGCTGAGTACAGGGTGTAACGTGGGAAATGGTGACCCAAAAATCCCATTAAGGGGGGGGTGGGGGGAGTGGTGGCTGAAGCAATAGTACAGTGGTAGGACACTTGCCTTGCCTTGCCTTGCATGTGGCCAAACTGGGTTCGATCCCCAGCAACCTATATAGCCTACCAAGCATCGCCAGGAGAAATTCCTGACTGCAGAGCCAGGAGTAAGCAAGCCCTTAGCACCGCTAGGTGTGGTCCCCCAAACCAAAATAAATAATGAGATGGGGAGAAATGGAAAGATAGTACAGCTACTAGAGCATTTTACTTGCACACAACTGACCACAGTCAAGAGTGATCCTTGAGCACAGAGCCAAAAGTAAAGCCCTGAGCACTGTTTGGTGTGGTGGGGGTCTGGGGAAGGAAGAGAGGGAGAGAGTATAGGGTGCCCTGCATGTGGCCAACCTCTGTCCAAATCCCTGGCACCAGATACATGCCCTCAGTATTGCCAGGCGGAGCTCCTGAGCACTGTCAGGTATGCTGCCGCTACCACCCACCCCAAAAATAAAGAATGGGTATTTATTTTTCTATGACCTTGAATTCTTATGTATTCCTGATTTTTACGGGGCATTTTGGGGTTGGACTTACAGACAACGGAGATCTTCCTCTTGAATGATTTGGGCAGCGCACTCTGTACAGATATAAGGGGGGGGGGGAGAGAAAGAGACACACCCCACAGAGAGGGGGGAAGGAGGTTAGATGGGGCAATCTCAGCACAGACTCCAAAGACACAGAGAGAGAGAAAGAGAGAGGAGAGACATAGAGACAGACAAGAGACCAAAACAGAAGCGGCAAACGGCAAAAACGAAGCAGAATCAATGCAAGTTAGAGAAAAAAATAAAATCAAACATCACAGCAGGGAAAAGTCAGCTAGTCCATACCACACCTGTGTATTAGCTTAACCAGAAATAAGCTAAAGAAGTCAGTAGCTGCCCAGCCCGTTAAAGGTGTTGGCCATGCCCTCCCTTTCACTGTCTCTATGGGTTCAGAGGACAAGAAGCTAAAAAACAAATAAACAAAATGAAACAAACGAACAAAAAAAAACACCCAAAACTGGGTCACAGAGGCCTCCTGGGTCTGCCTCGTCAACCTGAGGAAAACAGGAGGAAACAAGGAAAACCAATTTCGGGATGGCAACCTCAACAGGAAAACCCTTCCCCTTCTCAGTGTCCAGCCTGCTGAGATGTCTGGAGATGAGGCTCCTAAGTCCAGTGGCAGCAGGACTGAGGTGTCCTTGGTAGCGGAATGTTCTGACGAAGGGCACTGTCCCCAGGGCACGCCTCCACCAGCCCACCACCGCAGAGCCCTGAGCAGAATCTGAGTCTTTCCTCTCCAGTCAGGGCTTCTGCTGAGGACCAGAAACTTCCAAACTGCTCCAGAGCAAGCCCCAGCATTCACCATCCCACTGCCGCCCTTTCCTAGCCCCGATAGCGGGAGAATGACTACTGTCATACCAAAAAGAGAGAAAAGGGGAACAGAGTACTTAAGTGCTTATTTCTGGAAAAACTAAGACCTACTACCCTTTCTAAAGGGTATGGCAGGACCTCAAGACCTTCCTTCTCCCTTCCACCCCCAGCCCCGTTTGTGTCGTCTAACCAAGTCTCCTTGGTCTCCATTAAGGGCCAGCCTGACCCCTAGCTGGGCCGCTCTCGATGGGTAAGTTAGTGAGGGGGAAAAAAAAAATTCTTAATTAAAACAGGAAAAACATGAACCAAATAAATAGAGATCCAATAGAGAAATCAGAAAAATAAAGAAAAAATTAAAATAAAAGATTTTTTAAAGGAGAAGAAAATAAAGAAGAAAATAAACTAGGAATATGACAAATGTTCCAGGTACCATCTCACACCTGGGATCTTCAGTTCAGCCAATCGCACCTCACTGTGTACTGTATCTAGTCAACCGCCGGTCCAATCAGAATGAGCCCTCCCTGCTAGGCGCTGTGCAATTGGTGGGGGGTTGGGTTGGCAAAAAAGGTGGGCGCACGGCGTGGTGGTCAGCACGGCACTGCCAGAGTCCTCCCAGGGGCGCAGGGGGGGCGGGAGGGAAACATGTGGGGGGACGCTGCCCAGTTTCCATGATGTCAAGACAGTTCACTGGCGGTGGCCAGGCTCAGCGAGGGGTACAGGGGTAAGGGGCAGAGACATCAATCAGTCCCAGCCCAAGAGGGGCATCATCTTGCAGTCCCTGATGAGATGGCCCGCGAGTAGCAAGAATGGTCCTGGCCGCTGATCGTGAGAGGCCAGCAGGACCCTATGTCCACCAGTGGCAAGCTGCGGCAACACCACCACCCAAACATAGGATCCGGGTGATGGTTCCAGAGTCCCTTTCTCCTCTGCCTGTACTGGGGAGGGGGTCCTTGTACCGAATCGGGGTCATGCAGCCCCTGACGAAGGTAGCCTGGGGGCAGCAGGCGAACAGCCCCAGGCGCTGGCGCGCATACAGCAGCAAGGTCAGAGCATCTTCTGAAAGTTGTCTGTGGCGCCTCCTCAGGGACTCCAGCTGAGACAGCGGTTCCAGTCAGGTGAACGGATGAGGCCCTGCCTCCAGGGATGGAGGAGAAGCTGGAGCAGCCAACATGCTGCCCTTCGCCATGGACAACAGGGACCAGAGGAAAAGTCCATCTGACGCGCAAGTGTTCGTTCACACATGGCTGGGTGGTCATCAGCATCGGATCCCTGGGCTTAGACCCTAGATCTTTCTGCAGGGATCCTAGTCGACAGCTTAGCCGAGTGCCCCACTCGGGATTCAACAGCACGGCACTGCGATCACAAACACGGGCTCCTTAGGTTTCGGTGCCCGAGACGGGATCCCAACAGTCTGCAGCAAACAAGGCGACCCACAGTCCTCAAAAGGGCAAGGGCGTGTGGGTCTGTGCCCCAGCACTGACAAGCAAGCTCTTCTTGGGGTGCCCCCAATAGGGAGATGATTCAAGTCCACCCCTTTCCAAATGCTTTTTGTTTTCTCAATACAAGTCTCTCCAGAACAGTGCTCTTCTTGGCCCCCTGAAGCAAGCAAGACAGGGAGCCAAAAGGGGGCTCATCACAGGATCCCATACGCATGCCCCCCTCTGGCCAAGACACCTGGACAGCAGACTCGGCTCTGATTGGGCAGCTCAGTAGCAGCGGGTGGGTCCAGAGGAAGAGGCGGCATCAGCGATTGGCCAGTTGGGCAGGGTTATATTTAACGGGCGGATTATCGTACATGAGGTACTTGGACAAAGTTTTACGGGGAAGAAGGACCTTGTAATAAATAATATTCTGCACATCAAATCACTTTCACCGGCCCCCACCCCCGCAACACACACCAAAGAAAGGCTACACACACAACAGTCCCTCCCACCATCACCCACTCCCACACCCAACTAGTTCCTTCTCAAGTACTTTAAGAGACAAGAAGACTTCGCTGGCTCTGATGGGGGAAGGCCCCTTAGGTGGGTGCAGGACTCGAGAGAATCTATACGCACCACCCAAGGTGGCAGGAGTGGAGGGTCAGACACGGGAGAAAGGGCTTTTGGGATCACCCCAGGTGCTGATCAAGTAACTACGTCTCTGCAACTAGACAGACCGCTGGGGGGCAGATGAGGAACAAAAATTCCCCAGCATGGCTGGTACACTCAGAACGGCCAAAGCCCACTAGATGGCGCTGAGCTCTACCAGGCGCTTAAAAAGGAGGGAAAGCTACAGGAATTACCACCGGGAGAAGCTGGAGGAGGGAAAGCTGAGCTGGGGTCTCAGATAAAGGGCCATTAGCGGACCTTCCCTTGAGTGACAAAGACCCTGGAGTCTGCTGTGCACTACACTTCCCCGGCGAGGCCAGGGGAGTGAATGGGCCCTGTTCCTGTCACGAAGGGGTCTCCCTGGCCAAACCAGCGAATTCTCCACTGGCCCTACCCTGATCCGAGTCTCTGCCTAGTCCCTTGAGCTCTCCCTGGGTGCGAGAGATCACCAAAGGGCTCTGCTCTCCTCTAGGTCCGCTTCTGCCCACCCACCCGAACAGGAGGCCTGGGTATTTACCTCTTTCTTCTCCTCATCTTCGGCACTGCCCTCTGGGCGGTCATCGTTGCTGACTTGGTCTCCAATCGTCACGGGGGGCTCTGGAACCTCACTTTCAGGTCTGTTTTCACTTGTGTCCATGGTCACTTCCTCCTTCTCCTCACTGACAGAACGGAGTGGGGTGGGGGAGAGATTGGGAGGGAAGGCAGAGAAGAACCAAGGGAAGAGAGAGCAAGACGTTAGGTTTCAGGCTGGAAACTCCATGCCTCAGCGCTTGGGCGTGTCTGGGAGGAATGCTTCTCAGAGCAGAGGCCTGGCCTCTGCGGGAAAGGTGGGGGGCTGGTTCCCCCCAGGGAAAGCGCAGAGGTCCCGCCGCCAAACCCACCCGCTCCCCAGATCGGATAAAGCTGTGATGTGTGGGGTCAGGGCGACAACTGCTCTCAGGGAACTCACCAGCAGACGCTTAAATGAGGAGTCCCTCAAGAGTGCCTGCCAGCCACAGTGCTGCGGCCACCGCCCTAGCCTCAGGCCACAGGCACTCTTCCTGACCCAGAGGCAGGAGGAACTAAGGGAAAGCCAAATTCCTCAAAAAAGGCTGAGAAGCTTGGCCCTGCGGTGGCCAATGATCCCAATTCCCTTGTGATTAATCACCACTTAATAAGGAAAGGTCTGCTGACCTGGAGGATCTGGAGGTACCAAGAAATGAGATATGGAGGCCGAGGGGCTGCAGGGACAGGAGCACTGGTAGGGCTCAGAACTCAACTTAGACCCCTCGCGTCCAAGAGGAGAAACTAGGAAGGCCCGGAAAGGACCAGGCCCGTCACCTGCCCAGAGGTGAAAGAACTGTTCTGCTATTCAATGTCTGACTGCCCCCCTTCCCGAACTTCCACGAGAATAGAGTAGGCCTCCCGGGCAGGACACGCCCTCCCCCATGCCATGCATCTAGCATCTTCCCTCACAGCAACCCACTCCTCCCCCGGCCCACACAAGTCAGCTCCCATTTCAGGGGGTGAATCCCCAAGATCCATGTCACAGAAACTATCTGCCCAACCTTTCCTGTCTTCATCCCAACTTCTTTTAAACCCACGGACCCTCACCCCCTCCACCCCCAAACACTGGGAGTGGGGGGAAATAAAAATCAAGATAATCAGGGGCCTAAGTCTCAGTGGAGGAAAAACTAAGCTTTCCCAGGCTGATAAGCACACCAGAAAATTCAGCATTCCTGATGGGCTGACTGACACTCAGAGGTCAGAACAGCCTCCCCAAAGCAGTCAGGGAGGGAGGGAGGGATGCAAGGGAAGGGGGAGGGGAAATCAGAACTGTGCCCCCAGCTAACAGGGCCCCACAGAAACACATCAGTCAACTGCCGAAACCTAAAGAAAAGAATTGACCCCAAAGATACCTACTTCCCACACCGAGAGGGCAAGTGGGGCCAATTAGAAACTGGGCAGGAAGGACAAAGGGGGAAAGCAGAATGACTGAAAACAAACCAAAACGAAAGACGGAATGAAAGCCACGGGGCAAAGAGAAGAGAGATGAGGTAGGCTAGAGCGGTGGGGAAAAGGGATACGTGGAAATGTGAAGCTCTCACCCTTCTTTGCTTTCTGATAACATGATTTTTTTCCTCCCCCTGGAAGTGCTGTTTATCCCTTTCTGGAATGGAAGAAATAACAAAAACCAAACAAAAAAATCCTAAAAAAATTAAAGCACACACACACACACACCTTCCTTGTTCCAGGATCCCACCACCTCCTCCCCGGCCACCCGACCCGGAGACAGAAAACCAAGATGCAGCAACTAGGGATCCAAAAAATGGTAAATGGAAGGGGAGGTGGTGGTGGTGGTGAGGGGAGGCTAAAATAAATCTGGCTTTTAAGAGATAAGCGGTAAGTCCTCACGGCAAACCCCGAGTTCAGCTGGACTGGTCTCCCTGGAGAAGGAGGAGGAAGAGGGCCAGGCTGCTGGTGGTGGCTGGCTCTATTGTACTGGCGGAGCGGCGGCGATCAGCCGGAGACATGCAGGGGAGCCATCTTGCCACTTACCCAGCAGCCCGTGTGTGCGGATGGGGGAGGGCCCTGCTGCAGCAGGGGAGGGGACAGCGAAGAGGGAGGGCGCTGAGCGAGCAAGGTTCTTATTCTCGGGCAGGCCAGAGGGAGCTCGCGGCGGCTCCACTGGCCGGGCCTTTTTCCGTTTTTTCTCAGGTTACACCGGCTCCTGAGGCCTAGGCCCACGGGGAGCGGGAGCTCGCTCCTCATCTTCCCATGGGGCGGGGGAGGGGGCTGGCGAGAGAGGACACACAAGTTACAGCTGCTAGCTTGGAAGATTCTAGAGAATGGGAGGAAGGGAACTAGAACGGCCAGGCCTGGAAAATGATTCACGGAGAGAGATAACAAAGTTGAAAGAGAAACAGAACGCAGGGCCGAGTAATTTTGTACATGTTCGCCTCCCTCTCCACTCTACACAGGACGCCAGGCATGGAACACAGAAATCAGGTCTGTCAGCAACTCCAAGTGGGGAGGGGGGACGAGGACTGGCACTACCCAATCACCAGAGTTACTGGCTGCACACCCTGGGCAAAGACCACGGGGTACGACTCCAACCCGAGGTATGGTGGGAGGAGTACAGCAGAGTTTCTATCTGGAAGGGGGTGGGGTGGGGGAAAGGGACCGTGTCCCTTAAGAGATAACAGACAACTTTGTTTCACACAGTCTTTAATAAGGTCACCTGCCCCGATGTTCACCAGAGAGAAGCCAAGAAGGATAAACAGGGTAAAGAGAACTTGGGTAGCTAAAACAGGAAAGCCACTTCATGGAGCGATAGCACCAAAGTGAAGGGTCTGCAGTAGGTAAGAAACTGGAGAGAGCTGTTGTACAGGACGGGGAGATCTGTGGGTCAGGGTGACGGGAAACTAGTCAGAAATTATTAGCCATGAAATAAATGTGCAATGGGAAGAAAATTCTATCCATTCGAAAGACTACTCAGTAGATGCAAACTGCAAAGGCATTCTTTCTTGGTGCTTAAATTCTATGACATACATGGCAAATATGTGTAAAGCGGTTGTGATTAGGGTTCCTCACTCTCTCCGTAAGACCAAGAGCTCTGAAGACCAGGGAGATAGTTCAAAGGGATGAAAAGAATGCTCTGCACGCAAGAGCCAGGGGTTCGGTGTCAGCTACCTCCTGGTCCCCTAGGCACTACCAGGAGTGATGCCCCTCCCATACCCTGCAGGGAGCAGGCTTGCCCGCCCCCTGCCCCCCCCCCCCCCCACTACTGCATGTGGCCCAGAACAGAAATGAAATGAGAACTCTGGAGTCAAATTAGTTAGGGTCCAACTTTGATACTGGCCTTAGGTAGGCTTCCAATCCTGTGTATCTGTATAACTTATAAAAGGAGAGTATCAATTCCTACATCAACAGACAGGTGAATAAAGGCTGTTCTTAAGGGTTGAGTTAGAGAAGCAAGAGATAACGCGCATTAAGGTGGTTTTTGTTTTGCTTTTCTTGGACCAAGATCAGCGATGCTCATGGGTCACTCCTGGCTGTGCTGAGGGGACTATATGGGGCGCTGGGAATCAAACCCAGGTCGGTTGTGTGCAAGGCAAACACCCTACCTACTATACTATCACTCCAGCCCCTTATGGTGTTTGTTTTGCATATGGCAAACCCCAGTTCCAAGCCTGACTCCACAACTGGTCCCCTGGGTAATGCCAGGAGTAATTCCTGAGTACAGAGCAAGAAGGCCTAACCACCACCAGATTTAGTCCATACAGTGATGCCTGCACCCCATCAACTTCCACAAAGTCTAACTTGGAGCCAGAAAGACAGTATAGGAAGATAAAGCACTGGCTTTGCACTTAGCCACAATGGCTATGAATCCGGTTTAGTTCCCAGTGCCACAAATAGTCCTCTGAGCACTGGGAGATGTCACTTCTAAGCACAGAACCAGGAGCAGCCCCTGAGCTGCACTGATGTGGTACAAAAATTAAAAAACCAAGCAAGTAGGTAGGTTATACTCCAAATCAAGGCAAGGAAATTTGTATGAGCATTCAATAGGCCAGTGTCTCAATTGATGCCATCTTCTTTGGAGTCATTTTTTTGGGGGGTGAGGTGGTGAGGTGGGGGTTAGGGACACACCTAGCATTGCTCAGGACTTACTCCTGGCTCTGTGCTCAGAGACCACTCCTGAAGGGCCTCAAGAGACCGTATGGGGTGCTGGATTCTGAATCTGGGTTGGCCACATGCAAAGGAAGCACCCTTCCCACCGTGTGATCATTCTGACCCTTTAAGTTTTTAGTTTGGGGGCCACACCTGGAGGTCCTCAGGGCTTACTCCTGGTTCTGCCTTGAGGGCTTCTGGTAGGTTGGAGGATCATATGGGATGCTGGGAATGGAACCCAGGTCGGCCATGTGCAAGAAAAGCACCCTAACAGCTGTATTGTCACTCTGGACCCCATGGCCCTTGAGGCTTTTTTAAGATTTCATCTGAGTGGACTCCTCTCTGATATAACAAACGCCTTTTGGCTTGACAGATTTTCAGCAATATTTTCATCACTGTAGAATTATGGTTTGCTTCCTCCTCAATCTCATACAACATGGTCGGGACTACATTACCCTAAGCCAGGGCCTTACACAAAGAAATGCCCAATAAATATTTCTGAATTGGGTTGTCACTCTGGGCATGAACTGAACACTTTAATGACTGCTAAGTTCGTTTTATCTTCAATTTCTTCATTTTTGGCCATACCCAGTGGTGCTTAGAAGCTACTCGTGGCTTGGTTGTTGTTGGGGGGCACCACTGGCATTATTCCGGGAACCATTTGTTTAGTTCTGGAAACCAAACCTAGATCTCCTGATTGAACTCATTGAACTATCTCTCCAACTTCTAGTTTCCCTCTTAAAAAAATGTTCTTGGGTCAGAGCAATAGTACAGCGTAGGGCATTTGCCTTACACGGGACTCGACCTAGATTTGATCCCCAGCACCCTATATGCGTCTTCTGGGCACCACCAGGAGTGACCCCTGGGTATAGAGCAAGGAGTAAGCCCTGAGCACTGCTGGATATGGACCAAAAACCAAAAAAGTTCTTTGAAGTGCTGGAGAGAAAGCATGGCATGAGGGAAAAGGCACTTGACTTGTATGCAGCTGACCCTGGTTCAATTCCCAGCT